CCCCACCCTCAGAGCTGGCAGCAGGGTTTGGGGGGTCCCAGCTGGGTTATGGGTTCCTCCACATACCCTCCAGTCACCCACTTACCCCCCACTCCCTCAAACGTGAGTCTGGGGGCTGCAGTCCCCTCTGCCACCCTTCACCCCAAATAACATCACCAGTGAACCCCCCACCCTGGGCTGCATCACCACCGCTCTGCCCCATCCAGCTCTGAGGGTGCCAGGCTGGGAAAGCAGGACCCAGGTCACCGGGACCCAGGTCACCAGGACCCAGGACTAATATCCCTGGTCACCATAAAGCCACCGAGGGACCCCCCATGAGCAGAGAACGGGAAGGAGCTGCAGGTCGAGGGGCTCCTCAGGGATGGTTGACCCAAAATGGGTCCCTCTTTGCTGGGAGATGGTGCCCAAATCACGTCCCCCAAGCCCTGCCCATGAATTTGGGGTCTGCATTTTCCTTCTGGCTCCAAGAGCAGCGGCTCAGCCTCACCGAGCGGATTAACTCTGCATGTGCTTTGCCGAATTCCTCACCGGCTTTAAGCTCCCTGAGCTGCCCCACCAGCTTGGGTGAGAAAACCAGCATTTCTGAGCAAATCCAGCTCAGCCTGGAGCTGTGCATCCTCCAGGGTCATCAATATTAATAGTGAGGATGCGCATCGGTTCCAGCCCGGCTGCGGAGAAGGGATGCTGGGACTCGGAATCACAGAATAATGGTTGGGGTTGGAAGGGACCTCAGGAGAACATCTAGTCCAACCCCCTCCTTGCCAAAGCAGGTTCCCTAATGAGAAATGCCATTAATTTAGTTGATTTTCCATCCGTGTGTTTCCTCCTCGGGGTACGGCAGCGTGATGCTGGCGTTGGTTTGTCTGGCTGAGGCCGTTCGCTCCCTGCCCCGTCGGAATCCTCCGGCGAAGTTTCATGCTCCAGTTCCTCATCTGTGGGGAAGGAGGAGGGGGGGAGTCATAACACCATGGGCTTCTCAGCCCTGAAAGCTGTTGGATCTGGGGTGCTAAGGACAGAGCATGAGGGGGGGGTTGCATCTTCTCGGGCACCTTTGCTTCAAACTAGCCCTGGATTTTTATCTTTAAGTGTATATGAGGCTCTGAAATGCATCAAATATTCGCTGGCACTTTGGGTCCTGCCTCTGCTTTCCCTGGGACTTGAGAATTTGTATATTTTTATATTATTTTTATACTTTCTTTCCAAATTTCATAGAATCATAGAATGGTTTGGATTGGAAGGGATCTTAAAGCTCATCCAGTTCCAACCCCCCTGCCATGAGCAGGGACACCTTCCACTAGACCAGGTTGCTCAAAGCCTCATCCAGCCTGGCCTTCAACACTTCCAGGGAGGAGCAGCCACAGCTTCTCTGGCCAACCTGTGTCTAAATTTGCTCTGAATTTTGAGTAACCTCATGCAGACATCCCAACTCAAGCCCTGGAGACCCTTGTCAAGATCATCCGTGCATGAGTCGCTGCTCCGGCAGCTGGAGGAGCTTTAATGCAAAGGCTGGCAGCCATCCTGCCTCCTCAAATATCCGTAGGGATGCAGCAGCCCCCCCTTTACTCCACTATAACCCCAAATCCACTCTCCACAGGGCTCGGTGGATTGTCCCAACCTGGAGTTCCAATACGGGGATGCTGACAGCCACGGCGTGGAGTTAGCAGGTGAAGTAGGATTTGGGTGCTGTGTTACTATTAATAGGTGTCCATTGGGGAGGACAAAACCAAAAGGAATCCCTGGGGAAGTCGAGCGAGCGGGTTGGGGGATGGATATCGAGTGTTCTCATCCTCGCGGTGACAGAGCACGAGGGTTTATTAATAGAGAACCACTCGCTCCCCGGGGATGAGCGAGAGGGACGCGTGGGGGGCACAGGGATTACCCCGCGCTCCGAGTTATCCAGGACACGGTGCCAGGCGTGTGGGGGGTGGGAGGATGGGTGGTGTATCTGGTGGCACAGCCCAGGCTGGGAAGTGTCACCCTTTATTGCCAGTTGTCATGATGGGTCGAGTCCTTGTTCTGTATCTTCCTGCCGTGGAGCGACGCCAGCTGCTTCTGCCCCATAACCCTCCGGGTCCCGAGTGTATCTTGACCAGCAAAGGAGCTATTTTTAGCTGTTTGTATCTCAGCTGCATATTTTTTCTTCAAGGGATCCTTCCTCCTCCCTTGCAGGAGCATTTCAGTCCCCCATGGTGCTGCTCTGCACCATAGAACCTATAGGAATTATATAGAATCATAGAATCCCAGACTGGTTTGGGTTGGAAGGGACCTTAAAGCTCATCCAGTTCCAACCCCCCTGCCAGCAGCAGGGACACCCTCCACTAGACCAGGTTGCACAGGT